GACAAAGAAAGCACTCATGTAAAAATCTTTAGTTCAACACCAAATGCTTGGTTTATGGATATCTTGGAAAACATTCCGAGAGTTAGAAAGATGGACCACCATACTGGTTAATATTTGTTGGTCAAAACACAAGATACTGTGAAGCCATACCATTATGGTCCAAAAATATTTTAGATACTGCTTTGACAATATTCGTTGACAAATACCATCCAACAAAACTGACATCTGACTGTGAAAGTTCTTTCAAATCAGATGATATTAAAAACTATCTGCGTTCAAAAAATGTAAACCAATATTTCATTGTCGACCAAAACCATTCTGCTCTTGGTGTCATTGACGGTTGTATAAAAATGTTAAGAGACTTAAACCAACCACAAGGTGGTGAAGCAAATGAAATGTCATATGACGACAAATATAGACACTTCTCCATGGCAAAGATGAGACAAGTTTTAAATATTTACAATACCTGTAAACAAAAAGGTTTGGGAAACCACTCCCCCGAAGAAATGAAAAACAACCCTGACTTAGAGAAAGACTATATATTTAATAATTTAGTCAAAAGAGACAAACAAGAAAGAATGCCGGGCTTCAAACTTCAGAAAGGTGACAAAGTAAAAATAGAAATACCTAAACGCGACCCATATGAAAATACTATTGACTATGACAACAATGGGAACCCGACAGGTACTCACATTCGTGTTCGTAAAAATAGAAGAAAGTATACAAGAGAATATTATGAAGTTTTAGGCAAACATGGCAAAATGTACACACTGCAAGCAGAAGATAAAACTACTATTGTCAGACCTCGTTTCAAACTTGTCAAAGTTCAAGGTGGTATACTTTCAAAGACAGTTCCTAACAAATATAAGACAACTCCTGACGAATATGCTAAAGAAGTTGAAAATGACGACTAAGCATTCTATACCATGCGTAAACTGTCATGTAAGGTGGCATGTATTCTTTACTTTGTCCCGTTGTTTGCGTATATCCTGAAACGTGATGTGTATGGTTTCCTCCTCCCTCAGTGTTACTCCAGTAACAATTTATAGCAAACTTAACGTTGTCTTTAACATCATATCCTTTACCTTTTGTCATTCCTGACCAATCCCAATATCTATGCTTATGCCAACCTGCTTGAGATGTACTTAAATCTATGTAGTGACTGTGTGCAGGTAAATTTTCACCTGAAATCGTTTTACTTCCACCTGTTTCCTTTGAAGAGTTTGCACAATACAAAAACCTGTCGACTATTTGAGTCCAAGTTCCAAAACCCAGAACTGTTTCTGGTCTGGTAGAGTTCATTGACGTATAAATAGAGCCTATAGGATATAATGTTTGAAGTATTTCTGTCTTTAATGTTTGAAGCTCTGTTTTGTCTGCTTTCTTATCTAACATTGCGGGTAGTTCATATGCTTCAAAGTTTCTGGCATGATCTTCGAAATTCCTGCAACTCTTATCTAAATTGTTAAGAGTATCTTTTACGCTTGTACTCGGATTCTCTAAAGGTGCACTTGAACCAAGGTCAAAGTTCAGTATTATGTCGTCTGCTCTAACAGTAGTGAAGGATTTATGTGTATGGTTCTTGTCTGCTTTACTGTCTAATGTAGCTTGAAGTTCATTTATATCGGAGATGTTGTGTTTATGAGATTTCAAAACTTTGTTCATTGCTTCGAGTTCATCTTTGTCAGCTTTACTTGACATTTTATTGTCAACATATGTTTTGTCTGCTAGTTCAGGATGAGTATGTTCTTTTGTTGCATAAGCATTGTTAGCTCTTTCTTCTTCTTTTGCTATTGCATCGTCTACATATTCTTTGTCAGCTTTGTTGTCAACATCTGCTTTCAAAAGAAGTTCATTTATAGGTTTCTCGTTTAAAGTTCCTTTTGTTGGATTTATACAGACAGTATTGTTCTTCTTGTCTTGAAACAGAAACTCATCTGTTAAAGGGTTTAATGTCAGTTTTAAGTTTCCTTCTTTCAATGACTCAGATATCTTAGAATAGTTTGAAAAGTTTGTTGTGTTCTTATTTAGAGCTTGCATAATGAGTTGTCGGTTGTGTTGTATTTCTCTTATGGAAGCATATCTTTCGACATTTTTATTCTAGATAAAATATGCTTTCAATAGAAAAAGAAAATTCAAGAGTTGCTACAACTAAACCATTAGATGAACTTTTTACTAATGTCGGTCAAAAGTTTGAGACAGAGACGTAAAGCATGAAGGCTATCGTTTTGACTACCCATTAAGATGGCTAAGAGACCATCTGTCACAAAAGCTATTGGCTTTCGTAGAATGAAGTTCATTTCAGAAGCCATACATGGTTTTCCCATTTACGGTCGGTTTTGAAGTTCGATACTATAACAAAGAAAAACGTATGTATGAGAAATTTGAACAGGGAAAACTTTTACAAGTTAGTTTGCTTGTAAACTTAGAAACAACTCTTCAAGCTTTTCAAGAAAAAATAAACGATATCTATATCGAATATGCAAAACAGTATAACATTGACGAAGGAGAATACCATCTCGATATTATTTATGACAGGAAAATGCAACTGTTAAAATCAATAGAATAGAAGACCTTGGAGAAAACGTTTATATTTCTACAAAATATAACAACTTGCATGGTATAGATTTATGAGGATGTTAAATCAGCCTGCAGCATATCCAGTACACCCAGACTTTTATGAAGTCGAAAACCCTAATGGAACATATGAAATGTTTTCGACCAAGATGCTATTATTGTTCATGCTTCATTTTCTGGCGCCAAAACTCTTTCTTATGCTTGGCAAATGACTTTTACGAAAAACCTACAAAGTTATACGAACCACAAGTGGAAGTATTTCAGACTTTCAAGTATGGTTTACTACAGATGGAAGAAAAAGAATAATTCCATTATACCATGCGTTTTACTTAGAACTTAGTTTCATATACAACTACTATCGAACGGTAAAAATATAATTTTTTAATACGGTTGAGGTGTTGGATTTGGTTGCCAACTAGACTGTGTTGCAGGTTCAGGCTGTTGTATAACAGGAGCTTGTTCTTCTGGTTCAGGGTCTTTAGGTATAATACCAACAAACTGACCTACCCTTTTACCAATATTTTTGACACCGTTCCAAATTCCTCTTCCTACGGTTTTTATTCCATTCCATATACCTCTTCCAACATTTCGAAAGAAGTTTCCAATACTACTGAAGAAACCCATTTTACTATATGTAAAAATCTAATGTCCGCCTAGTCTCTTACGTTTCCTGTTGAGTTCCATAGCATTCTTTAACTGGAGCTCATACATTCTGTTTCTCCTCTGGTAGAAAACATATTCTGGGTCAACTCCTGTGTTCGCGTCATCTGCATAAAGTTGTTTATATCCCACTTCAGGGTTTGTATAAAACTCTTTCCATCTCATATTTGCATACCATGGTGGCAAACCTAACGCAGCGTCATTTGACATGGCAGTTTGCATTTGTACATCTGTTGGCACTTGACCATAGTTTGCCATTGCAGTTTGTATTCTAACTTCATTTGGAATATTCTCTGGGTTTGGTTGTCCAGGTTGCTGTGCATTCGCTAAGTTCTGTGCGTCCATTTAATATTAGATAAAAATATCTCTTACGAGTACATATGCTGAACATTTGCAGGCATTGGTTCATCTTCATATTCTCTGTACTTTTCTGCCACGTCAAATAAATAAATGACACAATGGAAAAAACCTAAAACAAGTAGTCCTATTTCAAACCACATTTACTTACTAATAAAATTTCTTTATTGTGACACTTTCTCCAGTTTATAGGACCTCTCTCATATTCTATCTTGTCATATCTAAACTCATAGTCATGTATGTCCTCTAACCATCTCATAACGGTTTCCAAACCACTTTTATCGGATGTAAAGTAAAAGCATGGATGGTTATGTATAACGTCTAAAGTTTCTAAAGAGTCTCTCAAAGTCCAGTCTACTTGGTATTGAAAATCCCATGTGTTAAAGAACGGCGGGTCCACTATAAAGAAAACATTTTCCTTGTCTTTATATTTTTCATACAACTCTGTCCAATGACATCTTACAAACTCTATACCCTCAATATATTTTTCTATGTTCTCTTTGAAAACATTTGTATAGTTAAGATATAAAACTTTTGACATAAGTGTTTCAATGTCATGAACTCTTATAGCACCACTATATAATAGTCTAGCAGATATACTATTCCAGTCTATATATTCTGCTTTTTTCAAAACCTCTCTCACAATATTTTTGTTATCTAATGGTATACGTTCCATCTTACCTATAGGTATCTTTTCTTTTAACTCTTTCAATATATTGTTTGTGTCTGGAATATGTTTGAGACGGTCCATATAGTTGTCGAAGTCATTGCATATAATCTTTGAGTCAGGAAATACGGTATGACATAAATGGGATATATAGAAACTTCCACCGAACAAATCTACAAATGTTAGACCATTCGGTAGTTTCTTAAGTTCTCTCAATATAATATCTTTACATCTACTCTTATTTCCAAAAAACGGTAACGGTGGTTTTGTAAAATTCATTTATATATAATAATAAAAATGTTTTTACCCGAAAAGTGATAGAAAAGTGACAAAGCATGAAAACATATATAATTTGTGAAAAGTGAAACAAAAAAGTGTCACCGGCTGGTCGGCTGGGGTTCGGTCCTCCTCTTGGGTCTTGGGCAAAATTTCTTAGGGGCTAGAAGGGGCGCAGCCCCTGGAAGCCCCACTTACCTGACCTATATTCATAAAGATTTTCCAAAAATATGATACCGCAAAATTAAAAAAGTGACGTCTTGAGTGGAGTCAAAGGTCGAAATTGCTAGCTAAATGTTTTTTTAGCGAAATTGCGTATTGTACGTTTTTTTCGCAAAACGAAACCCTTATTCAAAAGCATTTATGCATGAATGACTAAAATGTTATTATTTCTATATTTTTATTATGCAAACGTTATTTTTATAATTTTGTGGGAAAAGCCGTTGCAAAAGTTATAGTTCACATGTTTCTTATATTATTTGCACAAGCATTTTCCGAAATTCAAGTGATCAGTGGATGCACAGAAGAGAATACGTTTTCCAATGATGGTTTTTTATATTCAAGGACTTATACTGTAAATGCAAATGAAGTAAGATGTGCTAAAGGTTCCTATTTTATTAAAGCAAATCAAGATTTTATTGTTACATATAAATTTATTGATGAAAATCTCGGCATAGAAACATCAGAAGAAACAATTGAGAACTCTTACCTCATTGTGTCGAGTACAAAATGGCCATATTTCAAGATAGCAGCAAAAGATTCAAGTCAACAACTCAAAGTTACATTAACTTATGTTACTGGCTCAACATCAGATGGAAATAATTATACTTGGGGAATTTTCTCGACATTTAATTCATTTGTCAGGGTATTCCATATTGGACCGACACAGTGTATTAATTTTTACTCAGTTAATCAGAATCTTACTTATTACACAGTGATTTTTGGTGATTCTAGAGGGGAAACTAGAGGATCTGGAGGTCCATCTACTAGAAGTGGAACAATTTATCATTACGAATTGATGAATAATTTCCAAGATACTAATATTATTTTCAAATGTGAAATTGACCCTGTTTACCAACCAGATGTTGATAAAGAACTGCTATACGATGAAAAAATTACTTACATTCTGCCAAATAATGGTGTGTTTATGCTTGATGATTTAATTCAATACACAAACCAAAACAAAGAAAGAGTTTTTATAGACTTGCCAAGTGAATTTGCAGTTTGCAAAGAATTTTTTGCTCCTTCAAGCTTACATCCTAAAAGTCAATTTTTAGATGTCAAAGAAGGAGGCGGTAATTGTACAGCTGGCAATTTTATATATAAAAGCTTTGATTCATTTACAGTCTCTGTATTTAATCACTCAGCTAATAATGATTTCAAGACATATGACAATCCCTTTAGTGTGGTAAGTGGAGATATTTATAATGTAATTAAATGTTCTTCTCCTTATAAATGTTCAATTCAAATAATTCCAATTCCTGAACCTATTTATGGAAATAATCATGTTAATCGAACATTTTTCACAACAATGTCTGATCTCACATTTAAGCAAAAAATTATCACAATGAACGATAAAAATGACTCTTTCATATTTATTGCACACAATACTTCCGACATTGTTTTAAATGTAAAAGGGAAAAATTTTCGAACTAATATTTACAAGAAAAACGGTGCTTTCACTACAGATCCATCCGCCAATAATGATCAAACAATACTTGTAATTCCTTATATACTTGACAATAGCAAAGATCAAGAGATAACATTAACAATAACGATTAAAAAAGCTACATCTAACTACAATTTAGACAAAACTTATTTTCGAGATAGTGTATTCTATGAGATTGCAGGTGGTGTGCAATCAGAAGATGAATTAAAAAGAAACAAACCTGAAATAGATAGTGGCGGTCTATCAGGTGGTGCAATCGCAGGAATAGTAATTGCTATTATTCTGGTTGTTGCAATTGTATCCGTTCTAGTATGGTTTTTCATCTTTAGAAAGAAATCAGAAAAGAATGGCACAGAAGCAGGGGATAACATCTAATTTCTAAATAGCATTTCAATATTCCATTTTTCTAAAAACTTTACGTTTTTTATTTATATTTTTTTCTTTTTGTATTTCGACTTCAATGGTACTCTTGGCATGGTTTTCGTGCGATATTTTGGTGTGATCGTTCAGTAGAAGGTTTTTCTTTTCTTCCATGTGCTGCAATAAAAAATTTCTACAGAGAATTTTAGTAAGTTATTGTTCTTTTACATAATTTTCGAGTAAATCAAACATACTAATATTTTAATTCTGATTTAAAAATCTTCTGATTATAAAAATGTTACCTCATTTGATTTTCAATTAATTTCCAAAAGTTAATAAACTATTTAATTATTTTACTTTTTAATGAATAAAACAAACATGTTATACATCATTCTAATTCACAAGTTCATTGGATTTTTAATTATAGAAAATATCCCTTAATTTCGTTCAGATTTATGAACTCTTTTTATCATTGTTTATGCATTTAATTTCCAATAAACAATATGTAGAAAATCAATTTTTTTATGAAGTTGAGGGAAAAAAAAGAGAATATAAGGAAAAAATGCATACAAATCATGGAGAGTTTTACAAACAAATTATAAAGCTAAGATAATAGTTGTCATGCTCAGAGTCAGTTTCCGATTTCTTTGAAATAGACAAATTATCGCTTAAAAATCTTTAAATATATCGTTCAACTATTGAATAATCTATTTATGTTCCAATTATAAGTTAACCCCATGTATGAGAAACTGTCAAAATTTTTAGAAAAATTTTGATTGAAGTTTTAGTAATTAATATCAATTTAGTTTAATAAGTGTTTGAAAATAGTTAATTGAAATTTGAGAGTATTTCAACGCTCGAAATATATTTCATAAATCCTTTAATTATATGTTAAGACTCTTTATTTTTATAAAATTCACAATTTGATTTTTTGATAGTGATTCAATTCATTTTGAATGTTTCTTTCTCAGATAATCTTTCCTATGCTTCATACAAGTGATGCCTCTTCATTCAATGATCATCTTTTTTATCTTCACTGTTCAGGATCGGACTGGAATACTTTTTATCCAGATTCGAGTTATTCTTATTATGTTGATACGGGCTCAAATGTTGTTTCATACAGCGGAAACACGTTTGTCGAAAATGCTGTTTTTTGGAATTTCGTCACAGATGGGTGTATAAATATTCAAGCAAGTTGTAGTGTTTTGATTTTAAAATGTGTATTTGAAAATTCAAATACTCAGAACTCAAAAGGTGGCGGATCGATCTTTCAATCTGGAGGACAAAATATTCAATCTCACGTTTGCAGTTACAAAAGTTCAGAACCAGAATATAATGGTTGGGGTGGTCACTCATATGTTGAAACAGATGACTCAACTGCGATGAAAAGTTTCGTTCTTGATTCCACGATCACTCTTTCATCTGGTTATTATAATGCCGTTATGATGGATTATGGAACCTCGTTAATTTCATCCTCTAATATATCTAGATGTAATTTCCAAAACAATGCAGCATATGGTATTGACTATATTAAAAACACAAGTGTTGTTGAATATTCTTCAATTTCAAATTGTACATCAGGTAGTTTATGCATTGGAATTCATATTGGTAATTCTGGATTAGTCAATTCATGCATTTTTATCGGCAATTCTGTAAATGATGGAGGTTCTGTCATAAGGTTTGATACTGATGTCTCAACATGCAAGAATTCGATCATTCAATATAACACAGTGAATAATATATTCTCAGGTATTTCCTATATTATTAACTGCAATTTATCTCCCAATAACTGTTTAAATAATAACTTTGCTTCAAATGACAATAAAAGTTTAACCCTTGAGTTGGATTTATTTTCAACAATGAATTGTCAGGCAGAGTATATTCCTAGTGAAACTACTCTGGTAAGTTCAAAACAATTTTTAAACACGAGTGGCAAAACTCGTGAGCAACATATTAGATATATTGTATTCCTTGGTTTTTCTTGTTCTTGAAGTAAATTTTGTTGTGTAAATGTTTTTGCGTTTATAAATGGTTTAAGAATTTATATTTTTAGATATCAATTAATAGTTTTGCTCAGAATGCCATCATATCTAGATAACAATTTGATTATTGTATTTCTCCTGTTGATCATATGTTTAAATGCTGATTCTAAGCTATAATAGAGTTGACATCATTTAGAAAAAAAATATTAGTGGAAGCATCAGGATTGGTAATGGAATGAATAGAAATTGATAAATTCGGATATTTTCACAGTATATCTTAGTTCCAATCCCATAATCATCAATGAAATTGTGAAATTTCCCCTCCCAGATTATTATTCAGAAACTGTTAATCTATGTTTTTACATAAAATTATACAGTTATTATAAAAATACACTTAACTATGTTATCTGAAAAACTAATATTGATTGTTTGAAATTTCTCGTTATATCATATTTGTGCATGTATGATATATCTTATTTGATTTCAGCAATTTATTCTTCAAAATGTTCTAATATGAAAATTATTTTATTATAAAACTAGTTTTATACTAAAATTAATATTGGATATCACATAGGATTGTTGATTTTAGGGTTAAAAAGTAATTTTAGTATTCCGGAAGATTTACTCGATTGTGTCACTTTTCAAGGTTAATCTGATAGTTTATATAATTACTAATAACTAATGTTGCAATGTTTATGAATATTTCAATTAAGAATTTGAATGGGTAGTGAATAACTATTGTTCTCTGGTGTTTCAGTGGATCAAATATCAAGCGAATTATTTACGGTGACTTAAATATTTTTGACAAGTATAAAATCATATTCAAATATTTGAGCCATCCTTTACAATTCTTTTCAATTAAGATTATTATAAGTAATAATTTTAAATTTATGATCTCGTATTTAAAAGGAATAATCCGACAAAAGTCAAATTCAATATATTGAAAAACTGAGCAGATAAGAATATTTATGTACTATATTTAAAGTATAGAATCATAATATATCAATTAAAAGTCATGATGTAAGGATTCAATATCATTCAAAAATTGAATACATTTCACTGTAAGATTTAAATCAACATTTCAAAGTTATTCATGAAAAATATAGACACAAAGCCAAACTTTGATGCTCATCTCTCAGAATCTGAGATGAAAATGGCTGAAAAGCTTGTACCTCTTCATCAAGCAAAAATTCACATTGCAATTCGTGCAGATTTCTCAATTGACGATGTAGTCTACCAACAAGGAGTAATCTGTCTTTCAGAACACATGATGACATTTAGAAGGAAGAGAATGATGGGAAAGGCATTTCATCATGCTCTAGAACTTCATTTATTCTCAATTGTAAAAATGAAAACGCTTTCAGATTACTTTATAGTTATATTAACTGATGAAAATGAAATTAAAATATATACACCAGAAGGTATACGTCTTGCAAGGACAATTTTACGTGATTATCTCCTTTCATCTTCATTAATCCCTCCGAGTAGGAGATTTGAGTTCAAACCACATGACGGAAACTTATTCCCACCATTTAATCCTGCCATATCCCCATCTCAAGCGTTTCAATTCACATATAACGCTTTTTGTTCTTATCTCGACTGTTCTTATCAACACGAAGTTGTCCGCTTCTACCATAAGAACCTGACCAGGAATACAGGTATTATTAACCTAAATCAGCTTCCTATCCAGTTAATGGAAACAAATATTCGTTTGTCGATGGATTTGTCTCCATTCTTCAACGCACTGAAGTACTGTTCATACATATTTGGCATTTGCTGCACAAATATCACTCATCCTGACTTATTCGAAGCAATTGCTCCTCTGATCGAGATAAACTGCAATTTGCACATTCTTTCCATTGAGAATTGCAATATTGCAAGTGGTGTCGGCGAATTGGCCCAAGCAATTGCCAATAATCCAGATATAAAAATTTCATACTTTGATTTATCTGGAAATCCGTTTGCAGATGCTACACCTCTTATGGGTGTTTTCGCCGCTTACCCACATGATGTTTTCTTCCTTGATTTTGGAAATTGCAACTTATCTTCCTCTGCAACCGAAATGTTGATGAATGCGATAAGGAGCAACGAACATCTATGGAAATTAGGCTATTTCCATATCCCTTACGCCAAAATCAACGACAAATCCGCTCAAATTTTCAAAGATCACCTCAGATCTTTAAGCCAGAATGGAATTCATTCACTCCACTCCATAGATTTCGGTGGAATACAGTCAGGAGTCCATCATATCCTTGAAGGACTCGTTGCATACCCACAACCTGTTGATACTTTGAGAATTAACGATTCAAAGATCAAACCGAACTCATTTAACGCATTGATCTCGTTGATAAGGAACTCTGACTTCCTTTCAGAGCTGAATATCAGCGGTTCCAGTCTCAAAATCGAACAAATTGTCCAGATCATCAAGACAATACAAGAAAACAGGAGCATGAAAAAGTTTACCTTGTATATCGGTGGTCTTAAGATCAATGGCCCGAATCTCGAAACAGTTCTTAACCAAATGAAGAAAACTGCGACAATTTGGGTCGGATTGGGCCTTGAAAATAACGGTTTGGAAGTGGCCGATGTAGAATTACTTAACCGAAAACTTCCAAAGTTTACAAACCTTTCAAAACTCGAACTTGCAGATAATTTCCATCATTTACAGAAAGGAATCGGAGATGCCCTTGCCAAACTATCAGAGCTCGAGTCATTGAAGTACTTAGGAATCAAAGGCTGCAAATCCAATGGAATGGAAACCGAAATAATTCCAATTCTTAGATCTCTCAGATCCAACACGAAAATAACCACTCTTGACATCAGTTTTAATTATTCCAGACAGGAAGGACTCGAAGCCATCGCAGAATTGATCAGAAAGAACAATTCTATCAAACAATTATTTATTGATGGAAACAGACCTAAAACCATTGATCCAATCATCGATGTCATGGATGCAATTAAGCTAAACAACACTATTTTGAACTGCCCGATACCAAATGACGACATTTACAAAGCAATTGCCAAAAAGAAGTCGAAAGAAAGGGCAAGATTGGAATATGTCATTGCGCAGCACCAAAATGATGATTACATCAAGTTATTGACCAACCAAGTTAATAATAACGTAACATCTTTTATGAATTTGAAGAATGTTCCTGAATTGGATGCAATGATTGAAGAATTGACTGGTCAATTGGCTGAAGAGCTCCAATCCCTTCAATTAACAATGCATTCCGCAAATTGCGAGTTAATTGGTCTAAATCTTCCATTCAAAGCTGAAACAGACCATGATCAGAATGGAGGAACAGTTGTTGATGTCGATACTGAAGCTGCTGACACTTACGGAACGAAAGAAGCGAAGAGACAAGTCATTGAACAGGTGAGTGAAGACGTGAGTAACCTGCAGATGTTATATACGAAAACGATAAAAACAGTTTGATAGAAAAGTGACAACTTTACGTGTCACAAATAGAAAAAGTGACATTTTATTCGTAATATTAAAATGAATCATCATAATCTTCTTCATAAGGGTCTTCATAATCTTCTTGATATTCTTCTTCATAATTTACTTCGTATTCTTCTTCTTCATTACTATCTTCTTCTATTTCAACCGGATTCGCCTTATTTTCTTCTTCTTCAACTTCCTCGCCTTCTTTTTCCCATTCATCTTCTTCGATTCCTTGGAGCTCTGGCATCTCATTGGCCATAATTGAACCTGGAAGAAAATCTTGAGAGACTCCATCCACAATCCATTTTGCCGGCATTCCCCTCTTCCAAATTGGAAGTTTCTTCCACATTTCAGATGGGCTATAGTGAATTTTTTTTCCATTCACATAATGAGTTGGTAATGCTAGATGAGGTTTAGCATTATAGTACTCAACCCATTGTTGAATCTTTGCCCATGACAACTCTCTGCTCTCTATGTTAGGCCACAAGCGCTCGATTTTCCCATTTTGGTATGGGCAATGGGGGACAATATATACATTATTGATCCCCGAACCCTCATAGCTTTTAGGAACTCGCCTTTATTCTCGCCGCCATTATCGGACCAAATTGTATGTGGTGGTCCATAACGGGCTATTGCTCTCTTAATTACTTTCACTGTTTGGCTAGCATGTTTTGACGAAAGATGCTGCCATTCTATGATGAGCCTTGTGCAGTCATCAATCACAGCATAAAGAATCTGACTTCTCTTTTTGCCAAGAAAGTGGATATCAACGTGCCATATTTGGTTAGGAAAGGCAGCTAAGTATCTTGTCTTTCCTTTTGGCCGATAGGGTCCCCTTGGACGTGCCAAGCCTAGCTCTCTAAAAGCTCTTTCTACCATATGTCTTGAGGGGGGATGTGGAAGAGGGTTTGTAAGATATTTAATGTTCCTCAGCTCAGATGGAAATGATAATGGAGACTCTTCAATCATAAGTCCGGAAGGAATTGTGGAAGAAATTTGATTCAGGGGCTTAAAACGTTCAATAGCGGAGAACCATGCTTGGGTAGGCGTTGGCTGTGGAACAATACCCGTCTTCATGTCCAAAAATGCCTCAAAATGAGATTTGGCATATTCGATATCTTTATTTATTTGGTTATAGGCGGAGATTATTCCAAGATGGGTGAGGCTGAGGCTGAGTATTGGCAGAGAGCTGTTGCTGTGGGGGAGTGTTGGCAGAGAGTTGTTGCTGTGCCGAGGTGTTGGCAGAGAGTTGGCGTTGAAGAGGAGTGTTGGCAGAGAGTTGTTGCTGTGGAAGAGAGTTGGCAGAGAGCTGGCGTTGTGTCTGGGTGTTGGCAGAGAGTTGTTGCTGTGCCGAGGTGTTGGCAGAGAGTTGGCGTTGAAGAGGAGTGTTGGCAGAGAGTTGTTGCTGTGGAAGAGAGTTGGCAGAGAGCTGGCGTTGTGTCTGGGTGTTGGCAGAGAGTTGTTGCTGTGCCGAGGTGTTGGCAGAGAGCTGGCGTTGAAGATGAGTGTTGGCAGAGAGCTGGCGTTGAAGATGAGTGTTGGCAGAGAGTTGGCGTTGAAGAGGAGTGTTGGCAGAGAGTTGTTGCTGTGGAAGAGAGTTGGCAGAGAGCTGGCGTTGTGGGGAGTGTTGGCAGAGAGTTGTTGCTGTGCCAAGGTGTTGGCAGAGAGTTGTTGCTGTGCCGAAGTGTTGGCAGATAGCTGGCGTTGAAGATGAGTGTTGGCAGAGAGTTGGCGTTGAAGAGGAGTGTTGGCAGAGAGTTGTTGCTGTGGAAGAGAGTTGGCAGAGAGCTGGCGTTGTGTCTGGGTGTTGGCAGAGAGTTGTTGCTGTGCCAAGGTGTTGGCAGAGAGTTGTTGCTGTGCCGAGGTGTTGGCAGATAGCTGGCGTTGAAGATGAGTGTTGGCAGAGAGTTGGCGTTGAAGAGGAGTGTTGGCAGAGAGTTGTTGCTGTGGAAGAGAGTTGGCAGAGAGCTGGCGTTGTGTCTGGGTGTTGGCAGAGAGTTGTTGCTGTGCCGAGGTGTTGGCAGAGAGCTGGCGTTGAAGATGAGTGTTGGCAGAGAGCTGGCGTTGAAGATGAGTGTTGGCAGAGAGTTGGCGTTGAAGAGGAGTGTTGGCAGAGAGTTGTTGCTGTGGAAGAGAGTTGGCAGAGAGCTGGCGTTGTGGGGGAGTGTTGGCAGAGAGTTGTTGCTGTGCCAAGGTGTTGGCAGAGAGTTGTTGCTGTGCCGAAGTGTTGGCAGATAGCTGGCGTTGAAGATGAGTGTTGGCAGAGAGTTGGCGTTGAAGAGGAGTGTTGGCAGAGAGTTGTTGCTGTGGAAGAGAGTTGGCAGAGAGCTGGCGTTGTGTCTGGGTGTTGGCAGAGAGTTGTTGCTGTGCCGAGGTGTTGGCAGAGAGCTGGCGTTGAAGATGAGTGTTGGCAGAGAGCTGGCGTTGAAGATGAGTGTTGGCAGAGAGTTGGCGTTGAAGAGGAGTGTTGGCAGAGAGTTGTTGCTGTGGAAGAGAGTTGGCAGAGAGCTGGCGTTGTGGGGGAGTGTTGGCAGAGAGTTGTTGCTGTGCCAAGGTGTTGGCAGAGAGTTGTTGCTGTGCCGAGGTGTTGGCAGATAGCTGGCGTTGAAGATGAGTGTTGGCAGAGAGTTGGCGTTGAAGAGGAGTGTTGGCAGAGAGTTGTTGCTGTGGAAGAGAGTTGGCAGAGAGCTGGCGTTGTGGGGGAGTGTTGGCAGAGAGTTGTTGCTGTGCCAAGGTGTTGGCAGAGAGTTGTTGCTGTGCCGAAGTGTTGGCAGATAGCTGGCGCTGAAGAGGGGTGTTGGCAGAGAACTGGCGTTGAAGATGAGTGTTGGCAGAGAGCTGGCGTTGTGTCTGGGTGTTGGCACAGAGTTGTTGCTGTGCCTAGGTGTTGGCAGAGAGCTGGCGTTGAAGATGAGTGTTGGCAGAGAGTTGGCGTTGAAGATGAGTGTTGGCAGAGAGTTGGCGTTGAAGAGGAGTGTTGGCAGAGAGTTGTTGCTGTGGAAGAGAGTTGGCAGAGAGTTGTTGCTGTGGAAGAGAGTTGGTAGAGAGCTGGCGTTGTGGGGGAGTGTTGGCAGAGAGCTGGCGTTGTGTCTGGGTGTTGGCAGAGAGTTGTTGCTGTGGAAGAGAGTTGGCAGAGAGCTGGCGTTGTGTCTGGGTGTTGGCAGAGAGTTGTTGCTGTGGAAGAGAGTTGTCAGAGAGCTGGAGTTATGTCTGGGTGTTGGCAGAGAGTTGTTGCTGTGCCGAGGTGTTGGCAGAGAGCTGGCGTTGTGTCTGAGTGTTGGCAGAGAGTTGTTGCTGTGCTGAGGTGTTGGCAGAGAGCTGGCGTTGAAGATGAGTGTTGGCAGAGAGTTGGCGTTGAAGAGGAGTGTTGGCAGAGAGTTGTTGCTGTGGAAGAGAGTTGGCAGAGAGTTGTTGCTGTGGAAGAGAGTTGGCAGAGAGCTGGCGTTGTGGGGGAGTGTTGGCAGAGAGTTGTTGCTGTGCCAAGGTGTTGGCAGAGAGTTGTTGCTGTGCCGAAGTGTTGGCAGATAGCTGGTGCTGAAGAGGGGTGTTGGCAGAGAACTGGCGTTGTGTCTGGGTGTTGGCAGAGAACTGGCGTTGTGTCTGGGTGTTGGCAGAGAGCTGGCGTTGTGTCTGGGTGTTGGCACAGAGTTGTTGCTGTGCCTAGGTGTTGGCAGAGAGCTGGCGTTGAAGATGAGTGTTGGCAGAGAGTTGGCGTTGAAGATGAGTGTTGGCAGAGAGTTGGCGTTGAAGAAGAGTGTTGGCAGAGAGTTGTTGCTGTGGAAGAGAGTTGGCAGAGAGTTGTTGCTGTGGAAGAGAGTTGGCAGAGAGCTGGCGTTGTGGGGGAGTGTTGGCAGAGAGTTGTTGCTGTGCCAAGGTGTTGGCAGAGAGTTGTTGCTGTGCCGAAGTGTTGGCAGATAGCTGGCGCTGAAGAGGGGTGTTGGCAGAGAACTGGCGTTGAAGATGAGTGTTGGCAGAGAACTGGCGTTGTGTCTGGGTGTTGGCACAGAGTTGTTGCTGTGCCGAGGTGTTGGCAGAGAGCTGGCGTTGAAGATGAGTGTTGGCAGAGAGCTGGCGTTGTGTCTGGGTGTTGGCAGAGAGTTGTTGCTGTGGAAGAGAGTTGGCAGAGAGCTGGCGTTGTGGGGGAGTGTTGGCAGAGAGCTGGCGTTGAAGATGAGTGTTGGCAGAGAGCTGGCGTTGAAGATGAGTGTTGGCAGAGAGTTGGCGTTGAAGAGGAGTGTTGGCAGAGAGTTGTTGCTGTGGAAGAGAGTTGGCAGAGAGTTGTTGCTGTGGAAGAGAGTTGGCAGAGAGCTGGCGTTGTGGGGGAGTGTTGGCAGAGAGTTGTTGCTGTGCCAAGGTGTTGGCAGAGAGTTGTTGCTGTGCCGAAGTGTTGGCAGATAGCTGGCGCTGAAGAGGGTTGTTGGCAGAGAACTGGCGTTGAAGATGAGTGTTGGCAGAGAACTGGCGTTGTGTCTGGGTGTTGGCAGAGAGCTGGCGTTGTGTCTGGGTGTTGGCACAGAGTTGTTGCTGTGCCTAGGTGTTGGCAGAGAGCTGGCGTTGAAGATGAGTGTTGGCAGAGAGTTGGCGTTGAAGATGAGTGTTGGCAGAGAGTTGGCGTTGAAGAGGAGTGTTGGCAGAGAGTTGTTGCTGTGGAAGAGAGTTGGCAGAGAGTTGTTGCTGTGGAAGAGAGTTGGTAGAGAGCTGGCGTTGTGGGGGAGTGTTGGCAGAGAGTTGTTGCTGTGCCGAAGTGTTGGCAGATAGCTGGCGCTGAAGAGGGGTGTTGGCAGAGAACTGGCGTTGAAGATGAGTGTTGGCAGAGAACTGGCGTTGTGTCTGGGTGTTGGCACAGAGTTGTTGCTGTGCCGAGGTGTTGGCAGAGAGCTGGCGTTGAAGATGAGTGTTGGCAGAGAGCTGGCGTTGTGTCTGGGTGTTGGCAGAGAGTTGTTGCTGTGGAAGAGAGTTGGCAGAGAGCTGGCGTTGTGGGGGAGTGTTGGCAGAGAGTTGTTGCTGTGCCAAGGTGTTGGCAGAGAGCTGGCGTTGAAGATGAGTGTTGGCAGAGAGCTGGCGTTGAAGATGAGTGTTGGCAGAGAGTTGGCGTTGAAGAGGAGTGTTGGCAGAGAGTTGTTGCTGTGGAAGAGAGTTGGCAGAGAGCTGGCGTTGTGGGGGAGTGTTGGCAGAGAGTTGTTGCTGTGCCAAGGTGTTGGCAGAGAGTTGTTGCTGTGCCGAAGTGTTGGCAGATAGCTGGCGCTGAAGAGGGGTGTTGGCAGAGAACTGGCGTTGAAGATGAGTGTTGGCAGAGAGTTGTTGCTGTGGAAGAGAGTTGGCAGAGAGCTGGCGTTGTGTCTGGGTGTTGGCACAGAGTTGTTGCTGTGCCTAGGTGTTGGCAGAGAGCTGGCGTTGAAGATGAGTGTTGGCAGAGAGTTGGCGTTGAAGATGAGTGTTGGCAGAGAGTTGGCGTTGAAGAGGAGTGTTGGCAGAGAGTTGTTGCTGTGGAAGAGAGTTGGCAGAGAGTTGTTGCTGTGGAAGAGAGTTGGCAGAGAGCTGGCGTTGTGGGGGAGTGTTGGCAGAGAGTTGTTGCTGTGCCAAGGTGTTGGCAGAGAGTTGTTGCTGTGCCGAAGTGTTGGCAGATAGCTGGCGCTGAAGAGGGGTGTTGGCAGAGAACTGGCGTTGAAGATGAGTGTTGGCAGAGAACTGGCGTTGTGTCTGGTGTTGGCACAGAGTTGTTGCTGTGCCTAGGTGTTGGCAGAGAGCTGGCGTTGAAGATGAGTGTTGGCAGAGAGCTGCGTTGAAGAGGAGTGTTGGCAGAGAGTTGTTGCTGTGGAAGAGAGTTGGCAGAGAGCTGGCGTTGTGGGGAGTGTTGGCAGAGAGTTGTTGCTGTGCCAAGGTGTTGGCAGAGAGCTGGCGTTGAAGATGAGTGTTGGCAGAGAGCTGGCGTTGTGTCTGGGTGTTGGCAGAGAGCTGGAGTTGTGTCTGAGTGTTGGCAGAGAGTTGTTGCTGTGGAAGAGAGTTGGCAGAGAGCTGGCGTTGTGTCTGAGTGTTGGCAGAGAGTTGTTGCTGTGCTGAGGTGTTGGCAGAGAGCTGGCGTTGAAGATGAGTGTTGGCAGAGAGTTGGCGTTGAAGAGGAGTGTTGGCAGAGAGTTGTTGCTGTGGAAGAGAGTTGGCAGAGAGTTGTTGCTGTGGAAGAGAGTTGCAGAGAGCTGGCGTTGTGGGGGAGTGTTGGCAGAGAGTTGTTGCTGTGCCAAGGTGTTGGCAGAGAGTTGTTGCTGTGCCGAAGTTTGGCAGATAGCTGGTGCTGAAGAGGGGTGTTGGCAGAGAACTGGCGTTGTGTCTGGGTGTTGGCAGAGAACTGGCGTTGTCTGGGTGTTGGCAGAGAGCTGGCGTTGTGTCTGGGTGTTGGCACAGAGTTGTTGCTGTGCCTAGGTGTTGGCAGAGAGCTGGCGTTGAAGATGAGTGTTGGCAGAGAGTTGGCGTTGAAGATGAGTGTGGCAGAGAGTTGGCGTTGAAGAAGAGTGTTGGCAGAGAGTTGTTGCTGTGGAAGAGAGTTGCAGAGAGTTGTTGCTGTGGAAGAGAGTTGGCAGAGAGCTGGCGTTGTGGGGGAGTGTTGGCAGAGAGTTGTTGCTGTGCCAAGGTGTTGCAGAGAGTTGTTGCTGTGCCGAAGTGTTGGCAGATAGCTGGCGCTGAAGAGGGGTGTTGGCAGAGAACTGGTGTTGAAGATGAGTGTTGGCAGAGAACTGGCGTTGTGTCTGGGTGTTGGCACAGAGTTGTTGCTGTGCCGAGGTGTTGGCAGAGAGCTGGCGTTGAAGATGAGTGTTGGCAGAGAGCTGGCGCTGTGTCTGGGTGTTGGCAGAGAGCTGTCGTTGTGGAAGAGAGTTGGCAGAGAGCTGGCGTTGTGGGGGAGTGTTGGCAGAGAGCTGGCGTTGAAGATGAGTGTTGGCAGAGAGCTGGCGTTGAAGATGAGTGTTGCAGAGAGTTGGCGTTGAAGAGAGTGTTGGCAGAGAGTTGTTGCTGTGGAAGAGAGTTGGCAGAGAGTTGTTGCTGTGGAAGAGAGTTGGCAGAGAGCTGGCGTTGTGGGGAGTGTTGGCAGAGAGTTGTTGCTGTGCCAAGGTGTTGGCAGAGAGTTGTTGCTGTGCCGAAGTGTTGGCAGATAGCTGGCGCTGAAGAGGGGTGTTGGCAGAGAACTGGCGTTGAAGATGAGTGTTGGCAGAGAATGGCGTTGTGTCTGGGTGTTGGCAGAGAGCTGGCGTTGTGTCTGGGTGTTGGCACAGAGTTGTTGCTGTGCCTAGGTGTTGGCAGAGAGCTGGCGTTGAAGATGAGTGTTGGCAGAGAGTTGGCGTTGAAGATGAGTGTTGGCAGAGAGCTGGCGTTGTGGGGGAGTGTTGGCAGAGAGTTGTTGCTGTGCCAAGGTGTTGGCAGAGAGTTGTTGCTGTGCCGAAGTGTTGGCAGATAGCTGGCGCTGAAGAGGGGTGTTGGCAAAGAACTGGTGTTGAAGATGAGTGTTGCAGAGAATGGAGTTGTGTCTGGGTGTTGGCACAGAGTTGTTGCTGTGCCGAGGTGTTGGCAAGAGCTGGCGTTGAAGATGAGTGTTGGCAGAGAGCTGGCGTTGTGTCTGGGTGTTGGCAGAGAGTTGTTGCTGTGGAAGAGAGTTGGCAGAGAGCTGGCGTTGTGGGAGTGTTGGCAGAGAGTTGTTGCTGTGCAAGGTGTGGCAGAGAGCTGGCGTTGAAGATGAGTGTTGGCAGAGAGCTGGCGTTGAAGATGAGTGTTGGCAGAGAGTTGGCGTTGAAGAGGAGTGTTGGCAGAGAGTTGTTGCTGTGGAAGAGAGTTGGCAGAGAGTTGTTGCTGTGAAGAGAGTTGCAGAGAGCTGGCGTTGTGGGGAGTGTTGGCAGAGAGTTGTTGCTGTGCCAAGGTGTTGGCAGAGAGTTGTTGCTGTGCCGAAGTGTTGGCAGATAGCTGGCGCTGAAGAGGGTGTTGGCAGAGAACTGGTGTTGAAGATGAGTGTTGGCAGAGAACTGGCGTTGTGTCTGGGTGTTGGCAGAGAGCTGGCGTTGTGTCTGGGTGTTGGCACAGAGTTGTTGCTGTGCCTAGGTGTTGGCAGAGAGCTGGCGTTGAAGATGAGTGTTGGCAGAGAGTTGGCGTTGAAGATGAGTGTTGGCAGAGAGTTGGCGTTGAAGAAGAGTGTTGGCAGAGAGTTGTTGCTGTGGAAGAGAGTTGGCAGAGAGCTGTTGCTGTGCCGAAGTGTTGGCAGATAGCTGGCGCTGAAGAGGGTTGTTGGCAGAGAACTGGCGTTGAAGATGAGTGTTGGCAGAGAACTGGCGTTGTGTCTGGGTGTTGGCACAGAGTTGTTGCTGTGCCTAGGTGTTGGCAGAGAGCTGGCGTTGAAGATGAGTGTTGGCAGAGAGCTGGCGTTGAAGAGGAGTGTTGGCAGAGAGTTGTTGCTGTGGAAGAGTGTTGGCAGAGAGTTGTTGCTGTGGAAGAGAGTTGGCAGAGAGCTGGCGTTGTGGGGGAGTGTTGGCAGAGAGCTGGAGTTGTGTCTGAGTGTTGGCAGAGAGTTGTTGCTGTGGAAGAGAGTTGGCAGAGAGCTGGCGTTGTGTCTGAGTGTTGGCAGAGAGCTGGAGTTGTGTCTGGGTGTTGGCAGAGAATTGTTGATGTGGAAGCGAGTGGCAGAGAGCTGGCGTTGTGTCTGGGTGTTGGCAGAGAGTTGTTGCTGTGGAAGAGAGTTGGCAGAGAGCTGGCGTTGTGTCTGAGTGTTGGCAGAGAGCTGGAGTTATGTCTGGGTGTTGGCAGAGAGCTGGAGTTGTGTCTGAGTGTTGGCAGAGAGCTGGAGTTGTGTCTGAGTGTTGGCAGAGAGTTGTTGCTTGTGCCGAGGTGTTGGCAGAGAGCTGGCGTTGAAGATGAGTGTTGGCAGAGAGTTGGCGTTGAAGAGGAGTGTTGACAGAGAGTTGTTGCTGTGGAAGAGTGTTGGCAGAGAGTTGTGTGTGGAAGAGTTGGCAGAGAGCTGGCGTTGTGGGGGAGTGTTGGCAGAGAGCTGGAGTTGTGGGGGAGTGTTGGCAGAGAGTTGTTGCTGTGCCAAGGTGTTGGCAGAGAGCTGGCGTTGAAGATGAGTGTTGGCAGAGAGCTGGCGTTGTGTCTGGGTGTTGGCAGAGAGCTGGAGTTGTGTCTGAGTGTTGGCAGAGAGTTGTTGCTGTGGAAGAGAGTTGGCAGAGAGCTGGCGTTGTGTCTGGGTGTTGGCAGAGAGCTGGAGTTGTGTCTGGGTGTTGGCAGAGAATTGTTGATGTGGAAGAGAGTTGGCAGAGAGCTGGAGTTGTGTCTG